ATTGTCACATCAGGAGGCAGCTGCATTACTCATTTTTTAAACTTCTTCTCATTTTTCATCACATCTCCACTTTAAATGTCGACAAAGTCTGCTAAGAACTTGCTTGAAATTAACTTTGGGGGGAAAGTAAACACTACGGAAGTCTTTTTCTACCAAACTTTTCTATGTTCGCTGGTTAGGGTCAGAATTACTTTAAATATTTAAATGTATCGTTGAGCCGCCTGCATGCTTCATCAGGTATTCAGCTGTTTTGATTGTGGAAACGCATACTGATTGGCAGAGAGCTGTGAAATTTCATCCAAAGCCTGAAATTTGCTTCAAATAAGTTATACATTTATTCCATTAGATTACTGCTCTGATTGAGGATATACTGTATATAGGGTCCTGCATAATAGATTCTTTCAAGGTCACTTGTTTTGCTTGAGCTCAGGAATACCATGGCTTCACTGCTATGGAAATGAGTCCAGCTCACATTGCAATACAGGATGACCTTATCCACAAAGAGCTGAGGGCATCTGGAAACATCACATCTGAGCCGGACTTTCAAACCGGAATAAACACACAGCTTTCGAGGCAGCTCATTAGCTCGCACACTAGCTGTGGACAAACCCTTGACAGTTGAGATGGTGTTTCAGCAGCACAATATTTCTCAAATATTGCATTAAATCATAATCATCCCGCTAAGCTGTCTGGAAGAAATCCGCACAGCCTTTCACAAATCCCCCTGTTTCTTAATGCAATGAATAAAAATGACATAGTTTTGTGGAAAACGAGAACAACTCATATTTTTAAGAAATATGTGCCTCATATATTTGTCTGTATGTTTTTCTTACCGTAACTCACGAATGTAGCAGTAATTGCAAAAATAGCATCTCATCATTTGAACTCTGCATCATTTGAATTCCCAAAATGTAATTAAGGCTGGTGAAGTCGCTGCCATTTCACCGAATGAAGAAATTACCGTTTCGCTTCCTTGTGCTTCGGAGCAGTCTTTTCATTTCCGCAGATGGAAGTAATTGGCGATTTGCATGACACTTTATTTGTTTAGAATTTACAACCAGGTGCTTAACTGGGCTGTTAAGTAAATAGCTGTCATTCATTTTGCACAGGTTTAAGCTATCTAAAATTAAACCTTAATAATGGGTCACTTGGGCTGCATGTCAAATGTATTATTGTAGTGAGCATTGACATTACTGTTGGAACTTTAAAAAAAAAAATGCAACACAAGTATTGGCAGCAGCAAAAAATAACAATAAAATAAAATTTAAAAAAACCCTTTCTGCTCTGTTTGCAATCAGCCTATTTGAGTGATTAGTTGGTATACTGGCTTCTTTAGTTTTCACTACTATGGAATAAAAAGGTGTCTTTCTGTCATTTTTATCAGCAGCTTCACACTTTTTGCCTTCAAGACAATTTTTATAATGAGTGAGTGTTTTAATATGTGTAACTTGACCAGATGGAAACATTAGCAAACAGTGTCACTAAAGCAGGGGTCTCAAACTCGCGGCCAGTTGAAGCCCGCGGGACGATATTTTGTGGCCCTCTAATTGACATCAAAGTTTAGCGTTAGTGCGGTTTTTCTGCATTAGTTGTTGCCCTGGGTGGAGGGAACATGTACCCTGTCACCCAGTGCAAATTCATGAGTTTTTGTTTGTTTGTTTGTTTTTTTCTATCTGTGTGAAAAGCTCTTCTCCATCATGAACTTTGAAAAGTCAAAGTACAGGTCCAAACTTACTGATGAGCATCTGCAAGCCATACTGAGGGTCTCAACTGCTTCCTCCCTCAAGCCAAATGTGGCTCAGCTGTGTAAGAGGAGGCGCTGCCAGGTCTCTGGCAGCAAGGAATAGGTAAGAGAAGCCTTTGTTCTGAAGAACCATTGCTGTTCTGAGTTGTTATTAATAAAGATTGAGACAATTAGATCAGCTGTACTTTGTTTTTATGACTTGAAACCCTTTTTTTGTGGAATACTTGATGCCTCATCCAGACTCTACCTCCAGCTGCCTCCAGGTAAGTTGAGTTTGAGACTCCTGCACTGGAGGGCTACAGGTTAACTAGCTTATCTTATACTCTTTTATATCTATAAATCTGATGTATTGACACCCTGCGGACAAGGTTTTATTGGTTTTTCGGAGTAACTAATTGAATTGATTTTTAAGATTATAAATATTCTTAGTGATATTTCCGGTGTTCTCTGTTACTAGATGATGCAAAAACCATGAAACCACTGATATAAACATCTATTAATCCAACACTGAGGGCCAAGTGAGGCGAAAATGTATTAAAAAATATACATCTCATCACAAGCAAAACTGTCTCCCAAAGCTCATACAAAAAGAAACATCCTCTCTTAGTGCTCTTAAAAAAAACAAAAAAAACAACTAAAAACAGAGGAGCTAATTCTTTGTCAGTGAATAATTTCTGGCCGACTGTGACAACTCTAAAACAATCTAACGGAAATATGGACGCATGTCTTGGATCTTCTAGTTCAGCAACACAATCCAATAACTAGTGTTGACGAATCTGATGGGTGACGCCATCGACCCTCTGAGGGTCACATCTATATATATATGTTGAAGATTTTCTGGACTGCAAAGGATGAAAAGCACCAATACCAATTCTGAGCTAACATTGCTGAATACACAACACAACCGAGGACAAACACACCGCAGAGAGAGTGTGCTATTAGTCATCACCACAGACCCTGTCAGATCATGATACAATAGGTGGATATATAATAATGTTTGGTTTTATTTATCATTTATGTTGTACTTAATTTAGAAAAGATTCCTTGTGTGTTGCTTTACATCCTCCCTTTGTGTTTTTTTTCCTTTTTTTTTTTTAATTGTCTGCTTCACCCTCAGTGGATGTCTTGTTTCCTTATGAGTTCTCTGTGTACATATAGGCTTGTGTCATCCCCTGTCAGTTTCTACTTCATCTGTCTGTTTACCTTGTTCACCTGCCTGCGTCATGTTCCTCTGCCTCCTGTTCCACTCTGCCTGTCCGTCGTCCCTCCATGTTCTCCGCTGTGTCTCCCAGCTGTATTTAATTCTCCAGTTAATTCTGTGGCTTTTTTTTTTGACATCTTTTATTAGACTTTGTTTCTTCAGTCTCCCTGGTTGCCTTTTCTTTGTTTTCCTGCCAGCTTATGTTAACCCCTTCAGTAAGTATTTGATTTAAGTTTGATTTTTTTTTTGTTCCTACAACCTGATGCCTGGTGTGTCTGCATTTGGATTGTTTCCTGATCGCACCATAACAAGATAAATACTCAGCACAACCATTGAACTCATGCTGTGTTTGTACTGAACCATCTCAGAGTTAAATCCTTCCAGTCTTTAGTGCACTTATTGAAGGGAAGGTTGCTCTTGAACTCGAGCAGTTAGGTCAGTCCGTCAGTCCTTCAATATATGAGGCACTGCTCATCAGCTTTCCTGAAGGTTTTACTAACAAAACATCATCAGTTTGTAATATATGCTATCCAACAGTGGTAACAATGAACTACTTATTCTCCAGCTGTCACATTAAAATACTGCATTTGTGTATTGCTGACAAACTAATATCTGTGTTGCATTTTTAATTCTTGTCATCTCACCGACTTGATCATAAATGTGAAGGTTACTCTGGTGGTTTACTTGATAAGCAGCTTGCAACGCTGCACAAATCATATGTAAATAAAATATTTGCTTTTGGCTCACTTCCTCTCCATGCTGTACTCGATGACACAGACTGAGGCTAATGAATGGAATTTTTATGTTGGAACAATATCAGTTGCCCTCAGTGTTTGATTGAGGGGCAACACTGGAGGCAACACTGGAGACAACACTAGAAAAACACATTTAAATTAAATACCTTTAAAACCCTTTTAAACAGGTGACCTGTGGCCTTGTAGTTTATGTTGTGTTGCCACTGTAACTAACATTGATCCCACCTGTTAGACACATTTTCTTCATGTAAAATGCACTGTGCTGTGAATTACAAACATATACCATAGACAATAAATTGCCTTTTATCTTTAAGATCCAGTAATCACATCTGCTAACTCTATTCAACATGTAAAAATGCATTTAAAAAAACACTGAAACACCTAAAGCAATAAATGATAAGACTAGTTACATGTTAATCAGTTGGGAACATTTATTTAAAGGCTGCAATGCATGACGAATTAAATATATTTTAGAAACCACGGAAAAATAATTTTATTTAATGCAAGAAATAATAATAAAAAAGTGTAACAATTGGCCAGGGCATTAGTATGGAGTTATCTATATTATAGTGATTATATTAATTATAAAGCAAATCAAGTTACAGGACTTTGTGAACTGTTGTGCAAAAACTTTTCATTCAGTTCACACTGTTAATTTTTACAGCATCTTCCTGTTAATGGTCATTCTTGTTTTTGGCTGCCAGACAGCATCACATTTAATTTAATCATGTTTTGGAAAAACGGTATACTACTGTTAAAATGTGTCTAATTAAAGTGGAAATGTATCTGATACTACAGAGTTACTAAACACAGTCAAGTGAAGCAATTAAACAAATCAAAACGTCATCTCAGTTTCAATTTGTTGCCAATTTTTATTTATAAATAGTAACCAATGAGTAATTTTATTGTTTTATTTCATGTATTTCGAATAATTAGGAACACTTTAGCTTTGGTAACATTTATTTTTTTGCATGTGGGTTCTTGTCTGTGGACGTTAATAACAAGCGTACAGTGGCCCTTATCCTGTATTATCTACTTAGTTTGGTTGTTTTCATCAGTATCTTATGAAACTTAGGGAAAAAAATACTTTCACTGCGTCTATTAAGAACTAAATTTCCAGTTACTATAGTAACCAATAGCAACGCACTAGTCCGTCCACAAAATAAGTCCGTCTTCGGTCCGTCTCCAAAGCAGTCCGTCGGGAAACAAGTGCGTCTCCGGTGTTGCTTCGCTGTTATGTATTAACAGAAGCGAGGGCAAAATTAGCTTATTGAAAACGTGGGACGCTGAGGAAGTTTTCAAAATTCAGAATATCTTTTAGTGTTTTCGTCGGAAATGTTATGTGAACAACAGTTTGTGGCACATTTTGAACTGAGGACCAGTCAGTGACATTACTATCAGAGAAACTAACGTTAACGAGCTCCGGCGCGGATCGAGGTTAAACTCGGCTTTAGCTAAACTAGAACAACCTGTTCTTCTTCGGTTTTTGCAATGGACGCGGTTATAAACTTCACAAGTCAAAGTCAAGGAAGGGACCGTATATTCAGGTGAGTGGTTTAGCCTATTAGTGAGCTGGTTATAAAAACTGACGGTTTACTTTATTAGTAGAAAGACGAAGTTACTCCATGAGCGTTAACAAACTCCCAAAGTTGAGTTCTAACTATTCTCCTTTCAACCTTTTCTGTATTTTTCCCCCCCAATATTTTTTCAGGGCAACCCAGTATGCATGTGCTCTGTCGATATATTTACTCCGAAACTACACTGAGAAAAAGGACCTTGTGGCAAAACTGAAAAGTCTGGAGAGCAACATGAGTGCTGGACGAAAATGTGAGTATGAAGGGAAGAAGAAGGAGTCCATTGTTATCTGTTGGAGTGGAGTCAAGCTTCAACTACACAACCAGATATTTGTTACGCTAAATTAGACTATTATTGGCTATTATTTGGATGAGTGGTTTTTCTAGATAAGGTGTGAAAATTGAATTATCCCAGAACCAAGTGTGATGTCTCAAAGCAGCTTGTTTTGTCCAAATAACAGGCCAAAGCAAGAAAAACCAGCAAGTCAATTTTACCTGATAAATACCTCAAATGAAAAACTAAAATGATTTTTTTTAAAAAGCCGTCAGTTTCAGCTGTTCTCTCTTTGCCCTCGTGAAACTTGTCGATTATCTCTATTAGCACAGTGATATCTGAGCCGAGTCAAGATGAACTCCTGCTCTTTAAACCCCCACCACACTGGAGCTGAGTCACAGAGAAAGTAATGCGGAAGTTGTTTGACTTCCTCTACCTGAGTCCAATTTCTCGTCTCCCAACTGTCTGAAAAGCCGCTTTGCTCAAGGACACGTGCTTTTTGTGGAGTATGACTGAAGCAGAACACATAAACTGATTTCTCAAAACGTGTGCCCACTGCATAGCGCTGACCTCTCGTGGAAAACAACGAGAGCAAATCGAACATTTACGCGTTTGCTTGCGCCCTATTATCGCCACAGTGTTTATACCAGCAAAGCAATGTGTCACCCTGTTTTCCAAGCACATGGTCTCATGTTCTGTTTAATTAGTCGATGACAGTCGCAGCAGCAGTTGCCATGCCTATTAACTGTATGGCATTTACCGTGCGAATAGCAGCTGGACCTTTTTCGCTGAAGGTTGATATTTATTTCATGAAAGTGTGTTTGCTTTTTTATGCTGTTTGCAAAGATCTGTTCGTTTCATGGGTCAGCTCTGTTGACAAACCCTCCATACGTCATTCCACTGACATATTGCTATGAAAGCTATTTATTTGTGACTAAAGTTGATTATTTATTTAATAATAAATATCCAGTTTCTCAAAATCAAACTGCGTTAAAGACACAGTGTGACAGTAAACATCCTCAAGCCTATACACAACACGTTAAACATTCAGAAACAACCCCAGTACAAATACAGTACGTTTGTGGATGATGCTGCTGCAAAAAGTGATCCAATCCCATGTGTCCCTACCCTTTAAAAGTGCTGTCTCACATAGCCGCACACATCACCACAGTGCCATGTCAGCTCTGGTGAATAGTCAGAAAAATTCCAAAAGGTTAAGTACAAATAGGAGATTTTGTATTCCCTTTGCCATATCAATACAGCCTATGGGCTTAGAAAAAGCTTTTTGTCGCAATGTCGAAGTCTGCAGCGTTTTGTTTTTCCCCACTGTGAGCTGAGATGAACACTGTATGGGTGACTGCACCGTCTGCTGCTGACATGCAGACCAGCACAGGCTGTGGCCGTGACACCGATGACCCCGAGGCTGCCTGTGACAAGTCATAGACAAGTTCACTTTAAAATCCGGGGGGAAATTTGGAAGACTTCCTGAACTTTGTGGCTTTAGTATGAATTCAAAATTTACAGAGACTGACTCGACATGAGCTTCACATGGAAATGAAAGCTATGGCAATGCCTTAGAGCAGGGCCAGGCGAAACAGACCCTGTGCCACTTCGTGCTGTTGCAGTAGAGCTGTATCAAGGACAAAAGTTGGGCCACAGGGAACCAGGCCTTTCTCTGTTGGAGCACCACTTAATTATCTATTTTCTGCAGCAGAGCTGAAGCCATGGGGCTCTGCTGCCTCTACGCTCAGCCTGCCTGGCTTGCAAAAGTGGTGGTGAAGGAGATATTCATGTCTCACAGTTTAAAAAAGAAGTTTTTAGGAAGATTTGCCCGTAACATGTTTTCTGAAGGGTTCAGAAAGCAAAGTATAAAAGGAAGAGCTTAAGCCTGAAGAGGTGTGATTACAGTATGTCAACATGGGGAGTGAGTGGAGCTCTTTCCCTCAGAGTGACAGATTTGTAGTTTAGTTTAAGTGTAGCTTAACTGTTTTGTGCCGTCCGCTGTGGACTGCTACTATGAAATGTTGACCTGGCATTTCATATTAACTTGATTACTGCTCTAATACGCTTTTATTTCTTCCTCCTTTGTCAGTGTTCAGGCTGGGAAACGCAGCAAATTCCATTGAAGCTGCTAAGCGAACCATGCAGCTCACTGACCGAATGCTGTCCCTGTGCCTCACGGCGGCCAACGCCAACCGCGCCCTCTACTTTATCTGTGACAATGTACTTTGGGCCAGAAGTGTCGGTCTTATCCGCAATATCGACAAGGAACGCTGGAACGTAAACGCCTCTCGCTGCTACTTCTTCTCGTTAGTTATGAGTCTGACCAGAGACGTTTACGCAATTCTCCGGCTGATGGTGCAGAAAACAAGAGATGACCGCTTTAAACAGAAAATGGAGCAGCATCTCAACGAGAGTCCTGAGGTAGCCGAGGCTGTCATTCCTCAGCTGGATGCTTTTCTCTTTCTGCTTTTAGAAACTTTGAGATCACATCCACCTCTGGCCTTGGACACTGTGAAGAACATTTGTGATCTCTTCATTCCCTTAGATAAGCTGGGTATTTACCACTCTAATGCAGGAGTGGTGGGATTTTGTGGTCTGGTATCGTCCCTGATTGGGATTGTAACCCTTGCTCGGCCCGCGTTGAGACTCAAACCATAACAATGGTGGAGATAAAAGTTGCTGACTAACTGCTGGTAGAAAAGGTCAATCATGACCGGTGTTAAAAGGATTAAGTGTCACGTAGCAGAAGCTGTAATGGTTAACCTGATTAGATGTGGCGACACACCACAGGGACGTTGTGTAACATTAACAACATTAACAGTAACTGAAGTGCTTGTAATTTTCTAGAATGACAGAAAGTTGACTAAGTTTAAAAAAAAAAAAACAAAAAAAAACTAAAAGGGAGCAAATCATGTTGATATAGAATCCTTGTATGTTTTTTTGTAACAGTATGTTTGTATTAGAAGATCCACGGCTTGACTCTTTTACATTCCTGTCTGCTACAACTCCACATAAAACACCAGCAGTTTTGTAAGTACTTCTGCTTCAAAAATAAGGGCTCTTTACTGATGCAAGTGATGGCATCTGCTTCTGAAAAGCGTATCTCTGGGTTGTGTTTGTCACTTTTATGTGAACTGCCTTTCTTTACTCTCTATTTTGTGATAAAAATCCTGCAGAGTCAAGTGATGAACAAGCTGCTTCTCAGCCAAATGTGCTGTCAAGGGGTAAAAATCGTTTGGAGATTTCAGGGGATATCGTACTTGTTTGTAATTTGTCATTCTGCCATTCAGAGAATGGGTTGGAGTCTGGCTGTAAGTCGATTGATTTAAAGAAGGTACCGAGAATATGGAAAAAATATGCAAATCATGTTTTTAGTAATGAGCCACGACACCCAAAATGATATGTCAGATTCTTAATATATTGTCATGGAATTGTATGCTTGTGTGTTTTGATCTTTGTGACACAGACTAAAGTGCTTTAGGGTGAAACCCAAAAACCTTCACGTTCACCGAGTAAATGTTGAGAACAGTTCGTAGTAGTTTCATTCAGTTCAGATGACTGAATATTTTAGGTGTCATGGTTGATTGAAAGGTGAATAAAACACTATTTAATAAACATAAAAGTGAGTTAAAATTGTGCTTTTTTACAAACTATGTGTTGTGTATTTTAATGATATAATAATCAATGAAACGTGCGAGTGCAGGGCGCAGTTGGTAGCACTGTTGCCTCGCAGCAAGAAGGTCGCCGGTTCGCGTCCCGGTGGGGGCACCGGAATCTTTCTGTGTGGAGTTTGCATGTTCTCCCCGTGCAGCGTGGGTTCTCTCCGGGTTCTCCAGTTTTCTCCCACACAGTCCAAAAACATGTTGAGGTTAACTGGTGATTCTAAATTGTGTGAATGTGAGTGTGCTTGGTTGTCTGTCTCTCAGTGTGGCCCTGTGATAGACTGGTGACCTGTCCAGGGTGTCTCCTGCCTTCGCCCTAAGTCAGCTGGGATAGACTCCAGCACCCCCACGACCCTCGTGAGGATTAAGCAGTGTATAGATAATGGATGGATGGATGTGCGAGTGCTGAAAAACATTTCAGAAAAAGAGTAACACTGCCCTCTGGGGGAAACCTCACACCTTGCTGAATTGAAAAGAGCTTTATTTTTCAATTTCACTGAGACAACAATACACTTTTTTTTTTTTTTTCTTTTTTCCAAAGCTTTTCTTGAGAGGATGACGTGATAAAGCATCCACCGTCAAAAATTGCAAAAATATATTCCATTTCCCTTTCACCATACTTTGAGTTTTGCTGTGAAAAGAATGAACAAACTATGCAAAGATGAATCCCATAAAAGAACAAACGTACAAAGCAATAAATAAAGAAATTTGTTCTTCTAGGTAGATCAAATGCAGTGATTTTAAAGTAGGAACAAATGTTTGATTTCACATTTCCGTTGAGAAGGAGTTGTTTTCTTTTTAGTACCAACAAACCAACCTAGATGAAATATGTGGGAACAGTTTCCTCGGCTTGAAGTCGAAATTAAAACAAAATCCAGGCCATTATTTTAAATACACATGTAAGCAAATAATAAGTGAATTCTAGTTTTCTGGAAAGCCTGTCGTTTTTACGAGGCCAATTTTTCATAGCTGGAAATTGATCAAATTAAATAGAAGTCAGTGCCAATACAGTTTATGCTTTTTACAAGGCATCTGAGATGAACGAGAAACGATGAGCAAAGCACTTTGAAAAGTGGCAACAGTGTTAAACTACAGATGTGTAAAGACTGCTGGCCCAAGTGTTTTTTCTTCTTTTTTTTTTTCCAGAATACCAATAATGGTTACATGCAGAATCACTCTGCTTTCTGAATGAGAAGGCACCTTCAGTAGTTCGCTCCTGCAACAGTAAAAATAAAAAAAGAAAGGTGACAGTTAGCACTTGAAAAGCCCCTTTTATCCAGGGTGTGGTATCCCAAAAACATGTCGACACAAATGGCACAATTCTCTTTATCATATTGTGGTTAGACTGATATGTAGCCCAGGGAGTGTCAACCATGATACTGTTTTATTGGGTCACGTTATATAATTGAGTCAGTATTAAGTGGTAAATGGGAAGCCCATAATCTGAATTAAGTTGTGTTATGGTTTAAATTTTGGTACATCTTGTCATCATAGTTGAAATGTTTCAGTACCTCTCTGGTTTAAATGAAAATAAATTAAGTACAAATACATTTATATGTCTAAGCAGGTCGAACCTTGCACTATTTATTGCCAGTACCATAGTAAAACACACAGGTGTTTCTAGACATTTTGAAGAATCTGATGCTTTTATCAGTTCGATATATATGAATGAGCACTTAGCATGCATACTGACTGTAGAATAATAAGAATAAGAGGTCCTGAGACAAAACAGGCAGACATATTAAAACACTTCTGTAAATGTACCCAAGCTTTTTTCTTTAGCTTTGGTAATATTTAACACTCTAAACCGGTAAAACACTTCCTGGGCTCACAATTATGAACGTTCCAATACTCAGTGCCGATAAATATTCCTTTCATATGTGCCAAGAGACAAGAGTGACGGTTGCTAGTCTCCAATCCTTCAAACATACCAGAGTACTGAATGTAAAATGTTGATTTGATTGCAAAAAAAAAAAGAGCTGCTAAATATGTGACAACAAAACCACTGACTATTTGCACCGAGAAAATCAAGAGGAGCAAAGCACGTTGATTCGTAAATATTTCTGCAAAGATGCTTTCTTTCGATAGAGGTGCTTGATAGGATCGGACAGTGAATTAAATTCCTGTACAGTTCATGATTATCTGACAGATAATGAGACAACAAATGAAGCAAAAAAAAAAAAAGAGACACAAATGGGAAAAAAAAACAAGAACAACACGACTATCCAGTAACTACACTTTCCTTCAAACTAAGAGACATTTACAGATCTGAGAACACTGAACTGTGCAGGTTAAGCCAAGAACATTTCATAAACAGAGGTACCAGAATCATGGAAATGTTTGACATACAGTACATGTCAAGGCAAAACAAATATTAGCTTCATTCTCTCAATTTAAGCCATCATTAAGACAACAGTTGTGAATACAGCTACATTGATGCAAATGTCCAGAGAACATTGAAATCTGATCACTAACTCCTACGTCAGGCCACGGCTAATTAAGATGAAACAAAATTACAGGTTGTGGTTAATCAGATGCACCTACTTTCGGTGCGGATAATTCAAGAAGGTCTCTAATGAGTCTAAAAGCCCCGCCGGCAGCCCCTAGAGGTCAGGCCGCTCCGTCCACCCAACCGAACCAAAGTGGTTTGAACTGAATGAGCAGCCCACAGTGCCGTCCTCACCACACTCTCCCCCCTCGTGGGGTTTGTTAAAGGCATCTCTATCACATTCAGCAGAATAACATCCAAATGTAACACACACTGAAGTGAATTATTGTTGTTTAACTGAAATCCCACATTAAACATCATCAAGACTTTACGCGAAGTCAAATCATAGCGGATAAAAATGTACTGACAAGTTTGATTACCAAGATAAATACCCTGTAAGCTCTTTAAACTGAATGGAAATCGAAAAGCTTTCTATCACAGAGCAGTTTGTAGTTAATCATCTACAGCATAAACACAGCGTGAGTACTGTATGTGGTATTATCCGGAAACCTGTAACCAAAAGACTTGAGAGATGCGTGAGACGATAATGCTTCTTTTTTCTTTTTTTTTTATGACATAATAAAAAGGCAGTTCATGGTTCTTTAGGCTACATGTGGGTGAAATTGACACTAGCGAGCACTGTCTTGAAACCAGAGTTACAGTACTGCCAGGAGTCCTTCTGTGGCATTTGAACATTTCTCAGAAATGAAGCAGGACATTTGTTGAAAGCTACGCGATAAAATTCTGAAGATACTGATCCTGATCATAAACTCTGAGTGAAAACAAAAAGTAGCACATTTTGAAATTTTGAAAGAGGTCAGATATGAGGCTCTAAGTCCTGCAGGAAAATACGTTTTGTATGGATGACAAATTTTGCGAAGAGTTAGCATCCACTCTGAAAAGAGACATACTGATCATGGCACAGCCACATACTGTCCATATGTGTTCTTCTTATAACTTCTGAATAATTGATGTGATTGAATATGTTATGTCATCATTTGACTTTCTGTCAGCAAAAAGCAAATAAAGAAAATTTCTCTGTGTTTAAATATAAAGACTTTAGTAGCATTTGTTTACCCCTAAGATTGATTGTACCATCACTTTAATACTTAAAAATCAACACTTTTACTCTGACAAGGTAAAGGATATCATAAAAATGCAATTAGGCAGGAAGGATCACATCTGTCGGCTTTCACTGCGTCATCTGACCATTTTACAGCAGAACAGAATCCAGCCATTACAGCCATAATCGTAGCTGAAAACCGTAGTGTTAAAGGGTAACATTTGATCACGAGTCGGTGGTCTCAGCCTCGCTCCTCGATTCCATTAACACTCCGAGGAGTAAAGTGAATAGTGTCTCAGCGACTAGGACCCAGCTGGGCAGTCTTTTGGTCCATTACGAGTCTTTTGGTCCAGTTGTATTCCACCCTGCTGAGGGCAGAGGCCAGTCACTAGGAGAGTTCCTGTGCTCGGTCATAATCTGTGATCAGGCCTTTGATATGCGACAGTTTCTTATGGAGGTATTCGCATCGCTTCTTCTCTTCCCTGTACCCAGGAAACTTCTGAAAAAAAGAGAAACCAGTGAGCTTTTAGTGACTCCTATTTTAATCAACCTGCTGGACCTCATGCAAGAACATTTTTATATTCTTACCATAAACATCTCTTCGCTTCTTTTGTTAGTTATTCTTTGCTTTAGTGGATTCCCTAACTTTCTTACCTGCACAAACTTCTCATAAATAGCTTTTTTCAACCTCATAAATGCGGTCTGTTAATGAGATTCTGTTCATCTAACTTATGTTTATCTGCTAATGCGATATTAACGCAGCTGTCGATGTCAGAAATTACAAAAGGGATGGTTTGACATAAAGATGCCAAATGTTCATGACGTGATAAATGGCAGCAAATTAGATCACTGCTGATGTTAAGCAGACAGGTGCTTTAACGGAGGATGTTTACGTCGATTGCAAGCTTCATTTTAAACCTCGACCGATTTCCATTTAACTACTGAACTGAACAAATTGTGCAGAAATAATGATGTCAATGAAATCAAAAAGGAAACCTTGTTTAGTCTGTCAGTGAACCGGGAAACCATAATGCACATCGCACAGATATGCTGAACAGAGTATTTATTTCGACCGTCTCTCCTGCTCTTGTCACATATTTACTCACTGTGGGCTCATTTTTCACTGCAATACAAATTCCTGCATTTCTATGGAAACAGTGCGGCCACGGCTAGAAGGAGATACAACTCAGTTATAATGCCATAAATCATACATTTGAATTTCTTTGATTATTTTTTTGACAAAAATTGGAAAAAAAATAGTGCCCACAGCTTTTACCAGTACTGAAAAAATGGTGGCGCTATAAACTTTAGCTATGTTTTTTGTTGTGTCCATACTTGTATCCTTTCTGCTTTGTGTAATAACAGCTTGCGGTTCACATTTAAAGCCTTTTAATTTTTGTCACATGACTGTTGGTCACAGCTGAGTCGGTCACGACTGATTCCGTTGTGCGGAAAAGCTCAACGTTTTTAGTATTTTTTGGGGGGAAATGTGGTCAGAGATATAATTAGATAAGTAGAATAAAGTGATTTTGATGATTTTTGTTGATTCTATTAAGACGTTTGACTGGAAAATTCATTCAGATTAAGGCGTTGTCAAATCCAATAAAGTTTTTGCCCTTCCCACTACAGAAGGGCAGCCTATCTGACCGTGACCTTTAAAAACAGGCCTGGATCACTCACGAGTAAGTTTAAACTGAATAATTGGTTCCTTCCATGTGCCATTTGAACACGTCTGTATGAGCAGTTCTTGCATGAGGGCCAATGGATGATGCTCGAGGCGTTGGATTAAGTGCGATAAAAATTCTTACTTTCTTATATTTTCGATACTTCTGTAGTATTTGGTCCTCCATAAGCTGAAAAAACAAAACAAGAGAAAAGGTGTTAGCGTGCCATGTATGTGATCTATTTTCTGCTTGGTGTTTTGGAACAGCTACAGTAGGCTCCCAGTTCAGACAGTACCTTGTACTCTTGTGTTCCCGGGGAGAGAGTGTTGATCTTTGAGCCCAACTGAACAAACATCTCTGTGATAGCCCCAATCCGGTCATGAAGAGCTCTGTATTCATCGTACTCGGCACAGAAGTCGTCATTATACTGCTGACGCTGCTCCAGTGCTGTTATGGTGCTGTATTTTCTAAAAAAAAAAAAAAAAAAACAGGAACAACATTAAGTTTTAAAGAGCTGCTTTAAAAACAGATCTCTCTCTTAGGGATCTTTAAAAAGCCAAATCTTTTCCCAAGTCCCTCCAGCAGATGGCGCTGCATGTTGGTGGACCGAGCGGCTTGACACGTCACTGATTTAATAACAGCATGATGTGTTGACCAGATGTATAAATGTAAGACATAAGATCATTTGTTTTCAAAGTAATTCTCAGTGAAGCTTTGTGACAGCTTATTTGGACACATCTGTTACTTCCCTCTATTTATATGAACGTAACCCTTCAGGAACACGCTGGCGTCTTTCCTCAGTTGGTTAGAATTAGAAATTTTAACCTCTCAGTGACAGATTACATCAACAAAGGGTGATCTAGTGCCCTGATGTAGTGACGGCTATTTGGATTTCATCCCTAAATCCCTTCTGAAGCTGGGAATATGACATAAATAACAATCAGGAATGTATTTAATCTTACATTAGGTAGTCAGGCAGTTCCTCTGCTGTGGTTCGATTAACAGGTGTTTTCCCTCCCTCGTGGCCTGGAGATAGGAAACACACACACACACATATGCATATTGAAAAAAAGGTTAAAGCAATTTACCAATGCAAATGTGATAATGTGGCCATCGCATCAAGGCTGATGGAGTCATTTATCGCTGCCTCCGATAAGAGATCTGATCCAAGGCAAGCAGTGACGTCAGCAGCGCAGAGTAGGAGGCAGCGCTGCCTGCTGACTCGCTGGACCGTAGGTCACCCAGCTGTTCCACAGTCAATCATCAACAGACTAGAGGGCGACAGTGTCAGAGTCCTAACTGCTCTCTCAAATGAAAACACATCAACTGCTCTTTGTGGGCTTCCAGAAACAACTACAGCTGAACCTTCTGGTTTTGTTCTTTTTGCTGAATTTAACCTGATCCCTCTCATAAATCTGCACAAACAACGTTGAGCTGATTCACGGCCGCACAATAGGATACATGAAGTGTGACGGAACATTGAGGAGAAAACCATTTTTACAGTTTTATTGCCGTTTACCTTTGAGATTTTCTTGATTCTGCTTCATGTCTGGACTGGTCTCTATCCAGTCTGGTTTTAAACGCTCTCGCTCCTTGTCTTTGTGTTTTTTGGACCTTTTCTTTTTATGCTGGCCGTTGGTGAACTGCTGGTCGGTGAAAATGGAGGCGTTGTTGTGTGAAGGCTTGGGGCTGGGCGGAGGAGGAGTCGGCGCTGTCCTCTCCAGTTTGGGAATAGTCGATGACCCAGTGAGTTTGTGTGGCGAGTACAGACCATTAAGGCTCCTATGAAGATGATTGCTGGTTTTGTCGAACTCCGTTTTAATCTGTACACCGGAGTTTCCATGACTAGAGGAGCTACGAACACCGTTGGTGCCGTAGTCTGTGTGAGAGGGTGACTGCAGAGGCAGACACTGGTCTACTAGCTTTTGCTTTTTAGGGGTTTGAATGTTGGATGGGTCCAAGGCCAGTGGGCGTTTCTGAAGGGAAAAAAGAGAATACATTGAATAAAAGTGGCCAGACAGTGTCAGCAGTATGTGCATTAATAATCTTTTTAGTTGAGAGTTAGATGTGACACCGTTTTTCTTTACATAAATGTAAAGCTACAGTTGGTAGCAATTAACTTAGCAAAGAGCCAATAAACAAGGGAATCAGTTAGACACGCTCTGCCTGAAGGTCACCAAAATTAACCTACACAGACATCCTAACTGCAAAAATGCACACTTTATATACTGGTTGAGTAATTGTCACAAAAACCAAAGTGAGAAAATGCACATCCACTGTTTCATGGGTAGCTCAGAGGAGGAGAGGTGGAATGATGAAGTTTGCTTATGTGCTGTCAGATGATTTCTTGGCCAAGATCAGTAACTTTGTGGATTCTGGCTGTTGACAACCAGCCCTTGTCTGGAAATAGCCTGGCATAAAACATGCTCATCTAACCGGATCCAGCTACATATTTACCGTACACGACAGCAGAGTGATGCCAGTCATCGCTGCTCACTCTTTCCCCACAATGTCAACCTCTTTCTATAACTCCAACTGGAGTTGTATGGCCTCAAGCTTCTTGTTTAATTACACAAAGAGATCCGCATCAGAGCGATGTGTATCTAAAAATGAGGAAATACCCCATCTATTCCTACTCTTATGAGACAGAATAAGTGGAGGGAAATACAAATCATTCAAGGTGAATAATTACCACTGAGAGATTCTTGGCAGGGCTGAGACGTGAGGGAGAGTCCCCAGGAGTTTTGTGGAATGAATGGTTGGACTGGGGACTCTTCAGCTGGCTACTGTGGAGTGGCTGCAGCTTCCTGAGGAAAGATTAAGAACACAGCACCTTCAGCTGGACAGTGACTGCAAGGTAAATGGCCTGGAAAGCTAAACAGGAAGTGGTACTATGTAGGTCATGAAGCTTCCTTCGGCAGATTTATGAGCAAGTGGATGAGTAATTGTCATGTATTGCGACACGGTTATAGAGAAAACACAGAGGACCCAACCTTTCCACAGAAGAAGTAGTCATCGGCATTACAAAACTGACAATCTTTACTTTTTAAAAGTTTCTGTGATATATTTCATTTTGTGTTGTGGGTGACACAATCAACAGGAGGCCACCACAAAGACTGAAGCCAGTCCAGTAGTAAGAACAATAGCAGCAGATTTAACCTCTGTAAGGCCAAACCCTCTTTTCTGGTAATCTGCTTCCTACAGCTCCTTCCTCAAACAGATGCCACTGCAAAAAGTCACTCCTCCCCAGCGGAGTTCACACAACCCTCTTAATCATACGGTCAGTGTGGGTGGATTTCAGAACCATTAAACATTCACATGAAACAGTAGTAAATAAAGCCTGAATAAGAAGGACCTTATCCATAAAAAATGAATACAATATTCACTGGCTATCGCAGCTTTATCGCGCTTGGCAAACAATTTGATGACCACAATTGTGAGCTTTTTACACTTAGCAGGGGTGGTGAACAGAGGGGGTTGTTGCAATCAGCCAACAAGACTTGCACTTTTTCCAAAAAACGCTCGTGAAGCACATGGCCCGCATGTTTACTGGCAAGCAGAGGAACCGTACGAGGGGAGGAAAGCTCACCCTGAAAAACTCTGAGCCTTCCATGCTAATGCCATTTGGCAACACGGTGCAGGGAATATTTTTCTCTGCTTTGATGTGTCCATTAAGAGATTCATCAGTGCAGAGAAGTAGTCATTTAGAAGCTCCCCTTTCAAAATGATCACAGCAGCCTTCTACATTAATTCACCGGCCTTTCTGTATTAACGCCAGCACTGTCACAAAGCATCCATCCCGTAGTCTTCTCTGCATTACCTGCCCAAAGAGGCCTCTAAAAGTCTAAAAGGACTTTAAGGCAATCGTTTGACGGTTCGGGGAATATGCTTAATTGCTTTCTTGCTGAGAGTTATGTGAAAAGATGGACTCTCAAGTCTGTGCGATAAAATATGGGGATAAAGCCAGCAGGTGCTCAGCTGTGCACGGTTCTCTGGCAGCACCAGTTTGTGTATAGATAAAACGAATGCTGTTAATTTGTGAACTTTAGAGGTGCTGGTATGTAGGTGGTTTATCTGTGGTTAGATCCAGGCTAGCCAGTCTGAACGTATCCCAATAACATTGCTCATAATTATTGCTCAAAAAAAGTATACAAAGACATCTTTTATACATTCTCAAGTCTCTCAATGTAACAAAACACTAACGACTTTTTCTATATGACGACTAACTTCATGCTTACCTGATCAGAAGCCTGTGAATGAGCTGCTTCTCCTCCTCTACATATCCGGGCCAGTCTCTCTGGACGTGTCTGTAGAGCTCATCCTTCAGTGAGTAGCTGTGGTCTTTAGGGTTCAGTTTACCAACCTGAAAAAAACCAACACCTCTGAATGTTACTTCATCAGCAGAAAGAGGACAGAATATAGCAGGAAAAGAGGCCAGCAGAAACTGTAAATGCACCAGCTGTGTGCCGTAACGCCGCCATCATATTAAACTCAAACAAGACCCAGCGTACACGTTTCTGTGACACAGTGGCACCGTATTGTTTCTGTCACAGACGTTTTAACCCTGCCCTTAATACAACCTAATCTCTGTGATACAAATCTACCCAAACCAACCACTTTCAATTCTGAAAGTAGTCAGTCGGATCCCAGTTTGAGACACCCCACCCCTCTCCTGTCAAAACACAATCTTCTCGTCCAAAGATAATTAAAGCACAGCCCTAATTACAGCTACCAGCGGCGGCAGAGTCTCCACTCGATGATTGCAGTGAGACACTGAAACACTGTGAACACAGGAAATATGCCTGAAACAAACTTAGCTCACATTATCTTTTTTAGAGCAGAGGTTGTAGCTGTTTTAGCACCAGGCTGATTCTGGTGAGTTTACTGGTAAATTGCACGTTAGGGACTAATTTATGTTTGTAGTTTCAGTCTTTTAGCTAATATCAACTTGACACCCGACAAGCAGCTAAATTTGTATTAAATTTGTAACCTGTTGCAACCGATGATATTCATCCCTGGTTGGCAATGTGTTTACATAACAATGAACCAGATAGCTCACCTCATCCAGCACTGAGGTCAAGTCAGCCTTGTCCTTCGGAGTGGCCCGCTCCCTCTCCAGCCACAGTATCAGCTCAGGTTTCTTGTAGGGCTTTAAGGCCAGGAGATGAATGATGCGATCCCTCAAGGGCCGATGTGCCACAGGACTGGGAACCAGGCTCCTCTTGTTGCTGGGGGAGTGCTTGTTGCTGCTATCTGAGCCTGATACCAGACCCTGCTTCCTCTGGACCTTCACACACTTGCCTGAGATCAAAACAAAGGTACACACAGCAGAGTTTCAACTTGTGGAAGATAAAGAAAAGCTACTTAGATTAGTGATGTAATGAATCAAAAAAGCAGGGTTTTTTTTTTAATGGCCCTACATGAAATTAAAAAAGAGCAGAGAGATTATTACTCATCTGATAACAGGATTCACATTCGCTGACAGTATCCGGTAATAGCACAGCCAACATATCATTCCTAATCCAGTCCTCAGGCAGTATATACAAATCACACCCTGATTTTGAAAGACAGGCCTACACACGAGAGACAGCGCATTTTATCTTTATTGTATCTTTGTATTGCCCTGTTTTATGGCTTTATGCAAATGCAGCAGATACTGTACGTGCAGCAATTTCCGCCCAAACTGAAAAAGCAGTTTACATACATAAATACGCTGAACACGACACCGTGCTCGTCCCTCTGAGGCGGTGCTGCTGTGAGTGTAAGGCTAGATAGTGGAGTTAACCTACTGCTGGGTAAACAGAAGAACGTGGAAAGTGAAGCAACTAACACAGAGAGGCCCTTTCTTCCTGCTGCAGTACTAATTCAGTTGGACCTGGTCAGGCAGTGCTTATAGATATCTGCAGGCTGTAATCTCATTACAACTGTAAGCCATACTTTGGAGGTTGCTTTAGGTCAAAGACTAACAGTGCTTCCACACTGAGACAACATGGCAGACATACGGAATGCACAGATAATGTTTTACAGCACAGTAATACTGACAAAACTGTTCATATTTACTCTTTCTGCAAGCAATTTTAGACTTCAGCTTTCACCATATACAATATTCCTGAGGTTTCTTTAAATCTTGCAGAAGCGTGTTGCAGCATTTACCTTGAACCAGGTCACACAGACTTTAGAAAGTCATCCTTCCTGCACTGAAACAACCTGAACTGCAACATTTCAAACATGCAGCAACTAGAGCCACTGTAATAAACTAGTGAAGCTGGAGGGAAGTTTAAAGATTCCCTCCATTAAGCTTTAGTGACACCTTCCATTGTGACAGACGAGTATTTATGTGCTCGTACTAAAGACATACTGGTGTTTTTATGAGCAACGACCAAACATTTAAAGGAGCAAATGTTAGCAGTAGTGTAATAACATCATAGAGGAAATCCCTGTAAGGGGTAAAGTGAGGTGAGGTGACTTTAAAATGGATTGAATTTGTATCTCTCCAGCAGCAGGTGTGCACGAATTTGGTTGCCTAGTTGTCAGTTCCCTCCTTTCCACTGAAGGCAGCCGAACATTAAATCATACATTATTATCTAAATTGTGGACATTTTTCTACTGCAACCTGTAATTGTGAGTTGGTATACGGACATTTTTTTTCTGATGAGTGTAACATTACTGTACCATAAAAAGACAGCAAGTCACCACAAAACAACTGCGTACGCTCTGCTGCATGTGGCACATACTGCAATCCGTCGCCCGTTCCTTCTCCCTCTCTCTCCAGGAGTATCCAGGAGACGGCAAGGACAGTTGTGTGCATGAAAAAACATGTAAATTGGGATATCCTGTTTCTATCCAGGATGTCTCATGCATTTTCCGACATTTATTAGCTGAATAGTCTCAGAGAGACTATTTCGGCAACAAACCGTGCAACGCAATGGGGCAGAAGCTGGCTCGTAGCGCAATTACCCTAAACGTGATGTTGTATTATTTGTCTTCCCAGTGTGTTTCCCTTCATAAAAAACAATCAACACACGCATTTAAACTCACATGAGACATCAAAATGTCATTAGGCCTCATGGATAGATTATTTATAAAGATACAGCACAGTCAGTTTAATCTGTAATGAAGTTAAAACCACGGCTCAGGCACAGAGATGGGAAAGACATCCTGCATGTTGGGTGCAGTCCAGGTTATGTGTGTACTTTTATTTAAAAAATTATATTTAGAAATATTTTATCAAATGGACATGAATTAAGTTGCAGTCGGTGTAATTACATTTTAGGCAACCCTTCACTGGCATGAGACCTGTTAGGGCATACTTCTGGCGAATTCAATCACAGTAATGATGCTGGCAGGCAAGCTGGCACAGTGCCTGAGCAATCTGGTCAAAATGAAAGCAAAAGTACAAGAAAAAGAGGCATTGCTCGCACATGAATAATTGCAACACAGTGCTTTGATCAATTATGTGATAACTACCACACCATATGGTAATTATCAGCAGGATGAAATGGTGAGAGGCAATGGTGTGGAAGCTTTCTGCGAACACACACACACAAAAAAAACACACCCCTCTCCAGTTATCTGTCCTTGATCCCTACGTGCTCGAAGGCTGCCACGCCAACTGAGGCGGGAAGATACAACAGAACATAGATACACCTATTGGCAAAAGCTTACTTGGCCCCGGCTTGATCTCAATTGCTGAGCGGCTCCAGATGTCCTTCTCCACCTGAGACATGCGCTCCCGGGTCGTCTGGTAGGAGTCGTCTGTGGCACAAACTGTGATTTTGTCCTGAATGCTGCCTTGGCCCTCCAGGTGATCCCTGCCCTCCCTGCGTGGAGGAGGAAGGAAAAGAGAGAGTGGCTCAACCCAAGTAACTTTCCTTTTGTCGAAAATAGCAGCAGAAATTCTTGCTGTCATCCAACATGTTGTGTTGCCTTCCACACACACACACACACACACACACACACACACACACACACACACACACATACATGCATAACTGGTTCTGTGACTTGCAGCCACATGCAAATTGCAGNCACACACGCATACATGCATAACTGGTTCTGTGACTTGCAGCCACATGCAAATTGCAGTCCTGTTGTGGAGAATCAGTCTTCACAAGAAATGCAAAGTTTTAAAGGCTCACAGACTTGAGTGCAAAAAAAAAAAAAAAAAATCCGCTATAATGTAACCTTCTAACCAACCCTTTGACCCTGCTCAGCCACAAACACTACTTCTCTGTTCTCAATTATTACTGGTCACACCTTTGAGGTCAGTCGTGGCATGACGGCCTTTGGGTATTATTGTAGTTGAATATAGCCTTATAATATAACAGTGGCACTGTCTGCTGTTGTAGTATTGAAGAGAGAGGCCACTGTTTGGTCAGGCCCTGCGGTCTCAGCCTGACACCAAATTTACTACAGATTCCATTTGTGGTCAACTGTGGAAAGAGTTATGTGCGCTGCTTACCCCGAGACATACTGGTGAATGCAGTCGAAGCTGGACTGAGGCTTGTCTTTGCTGTCACTGGACAGGTAAAACGAGAAGACTCTGAATCCATCTGGAGACTCAGGAGTCGGTGCAGGGATCTTGACGTACTGCCCAAGACAAAGAGAGAAACAAAAGGCAATTAGTACAAAATGATTACGAACATTGTTTAGAACAGTAAAATATGTTCCGAGCCAGTCGTGCATTTGCGTCGTGTTAATGTTTAACCTTTAACAGTTTCACAGTGTTCTTTGCACACGCCTGAGTATCTGCCAGCACCGCTAATTTGAGTGATATGTTACATAATAAGCCAGATTTATCTTCCCCAGACGTAACCTCAACTGATTTGATGCATTCTCAGAAACACAACACAAACTCAGCGGATTTTCAGATTGTTTTTTTTTTTCATACAATAGATGTGACCTAAATAATCTTCCATTTAGGCCAATCACTACACGGTACCGCCCAGGTCAAGGATGATGACCTGTAACCGGTCATGAGAGGAGCCTGTCTGAAAGGCTTAAAACAACAAAACAAACGTGTATTGGACAGCTTTTTCACTTTGGCGATAACCTCATCTGTCACAGACTGTCCGTGGCTCCCGACCAACAAACAAGCCAGCAGGGTGAAGTCTATCTCTGCTGGAAACCTGTTACATAAAATGACCTAAAAACCCACTTCTACTAAAAGGATAGTGCAACACAGAAAGTCATTAACCAACAGGTAATACGTCCTTTAAAACACATTGGGTGTTGGCTCCCTTCAACACTGCCTGCAGCTGTGTTTCAGCCTGAAAATGGGCAGTTTTGTTGATAGAATGTCCTAGATTCAGATGAAGCCGGCGATTATTACCCATCCTTTACAAATACGAGTTTACGGAGAAGTAGAACTTGAGATGACTGTCGCAGCTCAGTTTTTCTCTCCTTCGCTTTGTGCGCCACCAACTCAGGTCGAAGCACGCGGCCCTTTTTTTAATCGCAGGTCTCGAGGAAAAACAAACGTCGCACGGACTTGGGAGCTGCCTTTTTAGCTATCAGTCGTAAGTGATTGATTATGAGCTGACTGGCTGAGAGCACAGTGCCCCTGGCAGATGTGGCAGGCAGGACTATAGCTGTCACAAATGCCCAGTCATGCAGCAAAGCCATAAGCACTTTTTTTTTTTTTGCAACACGGAGCCAATGAACAGCTCCTCTCCTCGACACCCCTCCTCCTCTTCTAAAACCCAACGCATGCCATTCACCCTGCCCCCATCCGCCTCCAGCTTTTCCTTCATGTGCACAAGTCCACCCATGTCAACACAAAACGCAAAGCAGCCCACAAGGCGAGGGACACTTGAGGCACACAGCTGACCATTAATTCTGACCTATTTACGTCTGTCCGTTGAACGTGAAGTGGTAAAGCAGAAGTCCTGTCTACGGTGGGGTTTTCATGCTAATTAAAAATGATGAACCAAAAAAAAAAAGCATCAAAGTGAGCAGGGACTCTGGACCTATTACTTTCAAAAAGTAAAGTAGTAACCTCCATGACCAAAATTAGAAGTCGCTCAAACAGGGTTACTGATGTAGAGAAAGTCACGCAGGCATTTCAATTTGTTTTTAAAATGCTAAACATTTTTTGATTTTGGATAAGATTAGAGTGCACATTTACACATATAGCATTGCAATAGTGCCACCATGTCCCCCTCTTTCAGTCGATGGCAGCAGCATGAGCCCCCTCCAGCCACGCATTAGATCTGCCTGTCACCCCCATCCATGCCACCGTGCACACTTCACATTCTAATTCTAATCAATGTCACTCAGGTCAGACTGTTCAGAGGTCGCCCCCATTTTATTCACAGCTTCCTTCTCAAGCTTCATAACCATATGTCATTTAACCCATTAGTTCCCAGTTCCTGACTCTGCACGGAGGGCCTCTGCGTCTAACCTCAGGATCATAAACTAAGGCCTGAAAGTGCAACACAACAGTACAAAAAAAACAGCAGACGATTATCTGTTGGATGATTGTTTGCGTTCTTACACAGTTAGAAGCCACCCATGTCTGTACAATATAGATTTGAAGTTAGAGCTAGCAGCCAGTTAGCTTAGCTTAGCATGAAGCCTGGAAACAAAAGGGGGGGAAGCTGGTCTGGCTCTGGATGAAGGTACCATAATCCTCAAAAATACACAAATGAATCTCACTGGTTCAATCATTACAGAAACAAAATGTTCCAAATAACTTTCAGTTTAGGTTTGAAAATAGGTCTGATTATCAGTAAAAGAAATGTAATTGAACGTGACTTTTGCTAAATGGAACCCCTGTGGAACACGTGACCAGAACTACCTGCATCACATACGCAGAAGAAAAACATCTCGACTCACGCGAGTTCTATCGGTCTATCTCATAACTAGGAAAAAAGATCCTATCTTACTGAAAACAATCTCGTAATTATGAGGAAATGTTGGACAGTTATCAGTTTTAACTCAGAGAAGTTTTTGGAGTTATACTGGAGTTCATTTTTTTCTTTTGTTTCCTTCATGGTTTGAGACAAGTAGATGTTAATGATATCACTGGGCAATCCATAATAAACATGAGACTAAATATAGTTTAAATTATAAAAGTAGTTTGAAGAATGTTCACTACTTGCTCTGTCAACTCCACCTCAAGCCCTGGTTTTTTGGCCTATGTTTGTTTACATGTTGGACACTGAGAATGCAAATTTGGCATTAGTAGTTTCTTTTGCCATGTACCATTAGATGTGCTGAGAACTACTTTGATACTGAAAACAACTTCTTGCTTTTTAGAACACCTACATGTACCTGTGATGGACTATGTTTTCCCTGTTGTCGCTCCCTTTGTGCGTCCACTACACTTTCAGAGCCGCCGGAATACAGCCAAACTTTTCATACATGGAAACTCAAATGTCACAAACGTACTCCAAATGACAACCTCACAAATTATTTTTTAGCTGCCCCCACTAAGGACAAAGTAGTCTCTGTTGCCAAGAGGCTGAACTGAAAAAACAGCAGCCATGTAAACTGTACAATATGATCTGACCACCTACAATCCATACTGTTTCTCAATCAACATCAGCACTACTGTGAATGACTTCTGAGTCGTTTTCAGTCTTTGTCACATCAGGAAATAACACATTTACCCTCATGTTACCTGGGCAGTCACTGGCATTTTTACTGATTATGAGCAGCAAGTAAGAACAACTCAGCAGCTGCACTCTAGTATCAATGACCAGCGGTTTACTGATTATGACTTCAAACGCTGCAGAATGCGCTGGTTATCATATCCAGCGTTTCATCATCACAACACCCAACTCTGACTTTCTGTTTAGTCAGTGACGCCACTTGTGCCAACAGGTTTGTTATCCTGAAGCTGCTGTCAATCAAGTAGTAGGTGTAGATTTACATAGAGACGCTGAGTCATAGACATCTCCATATGGAGCTTCGGACTGATCCCCCGAGGCTGTGTGAGTGTGTGTGTGTGAGCGTGTGAGTGTGTGTGTGAGCGTGTGAGTGTGTGTGTGTGAGCGTGTGAGTGTGTGTGTGTGAGCGTGTGAGTGTGTGTGTGTGTGCTGCCCTTTTGTCTTTTTTTAGGCACGGGAAGCCTCACACGCTCACAGGTCACATGCAGGGAGTGAGGTCAAATATTTAACCAACGTTTTAGGTTGAACCGTCAACAGAGAGACTATTATCAGCCAGACTTTGTGGAATCACCATCATCAACGGACAAACAAAACAAAACAGTGACCAAAAATCGTGAAAGTGAACACAGAATCCTCAATAACGTGAGAAAAAAAAATCGGAAATGAGTCACAAAAAGTACACAGAGGACTTTTTTTTTTTTTTTCCTTTCCTTTCTCAATGCGACCAACAGAGCTTCAGACACAACTCATACAGAGCGGCTAATAGCTCCGAGAAAACTCCCAGGTCAAGAACTGGTGAGTCACGTATGCACATGCCACAGACAGAAGCTCGGTCACATGGCTCCAACAAACCGCACACATTTCTATAAGCACTGTGGCAGCAAATTGGTTTTTGGAACGTTTTCAAATTGTTGGATGTCAAACTCGCATTCACATAATATTTACTTCCACGTCAGTACTTTGATTGTATGACAGACATCCTGGTACCCTGAGGCACAAAGTGACACAAATTTTTTTAAGGAATACGCTGAATGCTGCTAATGCTTCTTCAGTGTCTTTAGTGTCAAGTGTAACAAGAGATGTTTGTGTTATTTTCAGTTTAATTATTTTAAAAAACAACACTTTTTTAGGATATGTGTTTTCAGTTTTGTTAAAATCTTTTCTAGTGTCATTACAGTTTTTATTTCCTGCTGTACAAGTTATTAATAATTATGAAGATAACCATTCAATCAGCGTTATTTGTCCAGCTCAGAACGAGGGAAAGAATTCATTAAATTGCTTATGCACTACAGTGTTCTAATTATGATTGTTGAGTCTCTTAATCTAATGATTAATTAATCAGGGAAACGCTTAATCTGGTATTACTATGATCAGAGTCTACCATTAACATGTGTCAGTTTAATAAAATGGAGCGGCTTAATGTGAAGAAACACTGTGAGAGCTGTGTGCAGTAACGCTGCTCATTATCATGACATGAGTGTAGTTTAGCTGTTGGACAGTTACAGTCAGAGCTACCAAATGGGCATATGTAAGGCAATCCTTAGCACCTTGTCAGCGCAGCCCCCTGTGGAGCTACAGGCTAATACAATAACTGCCTCTGTGGCTGCAGCCCAGCCACATCTGCTACTCCAGCCCCTGTGTGTTTGGAGATGTCAAATACTTTCAGGCTGTTTTAAGGTGTGAACTGGACTGGAACAGAAAATCTTGGCAGGGGGCTCAGCAGATGAACAAGGACAAAGGGCACCGTCGGAGATGTCCTTGTAAAACTTCATCTGTAACTCCTCGAGCATGTTTTAACTGCTCATCTTTGACGGGGTTAAACAGAGTTCTTAACCCTGCCATTTAGTGAGGAGGGAAGAAAAGGTTCATTAGTGATCTCTACTTTTGCCCAGTCCTGTGCTTTTTGCAAGCCAAACATCTGCAGGGAAAGATGAGAGGATAGATTTTCTCTCTGTCTTTCTTTGCTCTGCAGACGAA